GCACAGTTTTCCCATTCGGATTTTACTGTACCTGCTTTATCATATCTCTTTGTCTCTCATCCAGTAACACATCTCACTTTCTGGATGCATTTCCAAGTCTATTTCCCCCTAAATACTTCAACATTCATATTATTAACTAGAATTCCATGTTCGTGTTCTTTTTATGTAAAATTCACATACAAAAAATTCAGATTTCTCAAGTGAATAGTCATTGAGTTTTGGCAAATGCATAAACCTTGGAACCAACCCCTATTAAAATATAGAACATCCCCAGAAAGTTCTCTTATGTTCCTTCCCAGTCTCTTCCTTGCCTCTCTGATGCAATCACTTTTTTTCTTTTTAAATTTGCTATAGAGAATGTGTGCTCATGTGAGAGAGACAGAGAGAAAGAGAGAAGGAGAAACTGAGAAATCAGTCTAAGTGGGAATGGACATGCCATAATCCCTTCTTCTCTGTTTTCCTCTCAGGATTCTGGGCATGCAGGCACATGTGTCTGGCATGTTTTTCCATAGGGCGGGTGCCACCACGCCCCGTCTGGCATGTTTTTCAAGCCATTTGTCCAGGAATTGAATGGCACAGTTGGTCACATGGGATCCAGCCCCTTAACCGCCATGCCACCAGCTGGCCCATTTGAAGAGTTCTTGATTATCCTGTCACTGAGCAGAATATGATGTTGGCCCACTATATTGATAATACCATGTTTTTTTTAACCTGGTAAGGAAGAAGAGGCAAGTCTCTGAATACTCTAGTGAAGGGGTCCAGAATAGATTGCCATAGCATTAAAGTTACTTTAAGCTTAAGATATTTGAGTTCCTGATATCTTTTATTTAAAAATTTTTAAGAATTATTTTATTTAACTTTATTTACTCATTTTATTTTTTATTTTAATTTGACCAGAGAGGGTCAGAGAGAGAGACAGAAAGTTAAAAAGCAAGCCTCCAGGTTCAGGACTTGAATCACGGTCAGCCATGTGGGAGTCCAGTGCCCTTAACCACCATGCCACCTGCCTGCCCCATGTTCCTGATATCTCTTAATCTACCTAAACAGAGAGCCTTCAAAAAGAATTCAAGGGAACCAGCAGTTAGCGTAATGGCTATGTCGCTGGATTCCCACGTGGTCGGCCGCGGTTCGTGTCCCGGACCCGGTGGCTTAAAAACCTCACGCCGGTCGCGTGTGCGTGCGTGCCCAGGATCCCGAGAGGAGAATGGAGGAGAGGGGATTGCGGCGTGACCATCCCCCCTGGGGGGTGGTTTCTCGCTTTCTGTCTCTATGTCTCTCTCTGTCTGTCTGGCGAGCGCACGCACCCTACAGTGAAAATCTCTCAAAAAAAAAAAAAAAGAATTCAAAAGAACTCAATTGTTGTAAATCCCCCTCCTAGCAACAAAGACAGACTATTATCACCAGAGATGATAAAACTCTATATCACACTTTAACCTACATTGTCACAAAAACTTTATCTTCCTTCTATTTTTCATTTATCTTTCCTAAAAGTCATGTGTTTTCTCTGAGGTACCCTTCTCCTGCACTTTTTTCACCTATTAAAATATTTTTTAAATAATTATTTTATTTAACTTTATTTATTTTGATTATTATTTTCCAGTTTGATCAGAAAGAGAGAGAGAGAGAGAGAAAGTGAGAAAGCAAGCCACCAGATCCAGGACTTGAACTGTGGTCGACCATGTGGGAGTCCAGTGTCTTTGACCACCATACCACCAGCCACCCCAAACCTATTAAAATATTTAAGCCCTGGGGCCAGCAGGTAGCCTTGGAATTTAAAGTGCTGGATCCCAGATGGCCAGGTTTACGGTTCAAGTCCTGGACCCAGATGCTTGAGAATCACGCTGGGTGCGTGTGTAAGTGTATTCCCAAAATCTCAAGAGGAGAGTGGAGGGTAAGGGGTTGTGGCATAGCCATTCCCCCGGGTGAGGTGCTTGGGCGGAGTGGTGATTCTCACTTTCTCTCTCTCTGACAAGTACATGTGTTCTGTAACAAAAACTAAAAGGAAAAAAAAAAAAGCCCTAAATTCTGCCCCTTTTGATAACATTATTTTGTGAACTCCTACATGTATATATGTGATTACAATCCATTTTTATCTTGCTAGTGTGTCAACTGAATTTAATTCATAGACCTGCCACCCTCCAATCCAGGAATATAAGAGTGGAAGTTTTTTTCTCACCAACATGATTAAGACACATTAATGCCAGAGGTGCTCAGTATGTATCTGCTGAATGAATGAAGAGTGCAGGACAGGGGTCCCAGAAACTGGCTCGTTTTCTCCTAGCATGCTGACCTTTCAATTTAGCTGTCCTTTCCCAGGTACTATCGGTGTACAAGTTTGGCTATGAACTAATAACTGAAATAGCTAAATCTCCTGTGCTATTTTCCATAAATTATCTCTATTTATCTGCACAGAAATTTCTGTAGGTGTCATGATAGCTTCCTCTTATAGATAACGAAACAGAGGGACCAAGAGGCCAGTCTTCCCCAGATCATACAAGTCAACAAGTGGTAGAGCTAGATTGTGATCCAAGATGTTCAAAGTCAGGCTCTGCACTGACTCGTGGTGGAGGCAGACTTCTATCTGCATCTTTTCTACCTGGAAGAGAAGAAAATGTTCCCATTTCCACTATAGGAAAAGGTCATGCGGTAAAATAGCACTTTCCAAGTCACCGACTTTGTAAGATAGAAACAGCATAAGACTCCAAAGTTTCTAGTCCCATGCGGAATAAAAGTGCCCTTGTTCTTCACAGCATCCCAGTGAAGAGCCAGACACAGGAACACATACACACGATAGTACTTGGAAGCTGCTAGAGCTACACAATATAAGCAATCATGGTTGTTGTGTTTGTGTTTCAGGTATTAAAGAGACTTTTTTTGGGGGGTAGAGGTTTTTGCCGTAGGGCACGTGCGCTTGCCAAAAAGACAAAAAAACGAGACAGAGAGACAGAAAGAGAGAAATCACCCCCCAAGGGGTATGGCCACACTGCAATCCCTTCTTCATTCTCCTCTCGGGATCTTGGGCATGCACACACATGCGCACGGCGTTAGTTTAAGTCATTGGATCTGGGAGTCCAATGACATAGCCAATACGCCAACTGCTGTTCCCTAAAGAGACTGTTTTTAAATTTTTTCTTTTTAATTTGCTAGAGAAGAAAACACTTACCATTGGGGCGTGGTCATGTGGCAATCCCTTTTCCTCCATGTTTCCGTCCTGTTGGTATTTGGAGTACACTACATAGTGTGTTTCTCAAGCCAGTCTGGGACTCGAATGCACTGTCGGGCATGTGGGATCTAGCTCCCTTAACCACAGGCTGGCCCTAAGGACACTGTTGTTTAAGAGATTTCATGACTATCCACCCCCCAACTCCAGTGTGTCTGAGAATCATGCTGAATCAATGTATGGTGAGGTTGGGAGAGAGAAAACACCGAGGGTGACGCTGTGTTGTTAATGGGATGTATTATTAAAAGCCTGCAAGCAATTCTCATTGCTTGACTGTGAGCAAGTAGGCGTCCTCTGGTCCATCTGCTTCATGGCAGCACTTGCATTTGGAATGTCTCTTTGATAACTATTCACCCTTGCTAACTGCGATCAGTATGTTCTATCCTTACATGCTTCTCTACAGGGAATGAGTGATGTCATGAGGACGGATGGAGGTGGATGGGATGGGGCCATAGGGTATCCTTCAATACCAAGAGTTGGCATATATGAGACAGGCACTGTGGTAAGTACTGTGCTTCTTTCACTGGTAAGTATATTCTTTATTGAGTATGAAATAGTTACTAAGGAAACAGGACAAATAAAATCAAGTCTCCTCTCTTGGATCTATATTCTAAAGACAGATAAATGCATAAATATAAATAAGACAGTGGCATTACCATTACCTTTTGATAATTTAGGTTTTCATTCATCTCTTTTTCAGCCTATATTAATTATAGAAGCTAATTGTGTAAGACCCACTTAAGACAGAAAAGCCTAAGGTAGTAAATATTCTATCTCTGAAAATCGTCACGAATGGTACATATAAATACATTTTGGATAAAAGATTATACATCCCGCTTGTAATACTAAATATGAAGTTTTATCGTTCTCATTTTACTAGGAGTTGCTAAAATATTAATATGCCTAAAAATCCCACAAATCAACAGACTGTAACCTGAGTGAAGTGTTTTTTAGCTTTTTTGTTTTTTAAGCCATGGGCTGGATAGGAATAGGATTTGATCCTGGATTCAGACAAGGGGTTCCAACGGAGTTAAATTCGTTAACAGAGACCGAGGTAAGACTATTATAAATAGTTCCATACAGAAATAATAGAGCCGGAACTGCTTTCAGCATCTGGATGGGTGGCGAGGGCCCAGCTGGGTATTTTGTTTCCGTTCTACCACACAATTTTAGTACAGCCCAGAGATCTCATTTTTTAATCAATGTTTTTCTAGCCAGGACTGATACGGACCACGTCTACAGAGGTCTGTCACTCGTACTAGTACGTTTTAGGCTGCTGCTATTGGCTTTTTTTTTTTTAAGTAGCTTTTAATTTCGTCTCTCTTTGATGCGATCCTACGGATCTGTCGAGACGTACAGCACATGGCAGAGCAGTTATAGCTCCCGGGGTATTAATGATCACACGGTTCAAACAAAATTTCCAGTGTCTCCTCCAGTGCCTTCGGAGCTGTCCTGCGAGTGGGCGGTTCGGAATCAGCGGGGGGCGTTCGGAGATTGCCAAAGCTCCGGCAGCAAAAGAGAATAAAGCAGCAGCGCGGAGTCGGGATTCGGCATCCGGCGTTCCAGCTGTCAGCAGCATTCCAGGTCCGGCCGCCCCGCGCCCTGCGCAGGGTTTGCATTTTAAACAGTCCCGGGTCACGTGGTCCCCAGCGAGCTCGGCTATTGGCCCTCGGCTGCTCACTCCCGGCTTTGGCGCCGAACCTGCCCCTCTTGTGGACGCGACCATTGGCTCTGCGCGCAGAGGGGGTCCGCGTCAACGTCACAGGCCCGGCGTCTCCGCATGAGGCTTCCGACTAAGCGTACTGAAAGCCTCAGCGACAGAATCGTTTCGTCAAATGACATCCACATAAGAAGTCTGTGGAAAGCTAGTTTTGCCTACAGGACGAGCAGGCCCGAGCCCGACTTCCCCTGCGCTCGTCGGGGCCGCGGCGGTGGTTCCGTCCGCGCGCGACTCCGCCTCTACGGGCGCCGCCATTTTGTTTGACTGGAGGGGCGCGAGCGC